CGATGAAGTTTCAGTATTGATATCAACACAGAATTAAAATATCTACTCACTGTATCTCCAGACCGCATGAAGTTGAATCTCACAACTCGGTTCTTCTTATGATGAGCTAAGACGGACAAGAACATGGCCACTTTTTCCGAAACACTTACATATTTACTTCTTGAAAGTCCTGCTTGTGTTTCCAACAATCCACATAGCCTACCAAATGCATTCCGGCTCATTCTGATATTGTCCATACATGTTATGTCATTCTCCTCAATCAAAGTTGACATGTAATTCATTCGTCTAGGTATTTTTGATAGAATGCTATAACATCTAGCAATTCTCCTAGAAATTCTCCGGGTTTCATAATATCTCCTACGGCGAACGAAGATTTGGTGCAAAATCAGTAACGTACTTATATACTCTGTATGCAACTCTTATAATAGAATTATAGCTTCATTGTTATACTGTTTACTGCCCATTGCCTAATGCATGTGGACTTTGAATTAGAAAGTGTACATAATGTCTTAGAAACATATAAAGCTAAATTTCATGTATGGACATCTAGAAGAATTCAACCTTTTCAAGGCTTTAACAAGAATAATAACTTTTTTGGGCCTTTAATTTTTTTTAGGAAAAGCTGACTTTTATATTTGGAATTAGTGATTTAAATAAAAGCGATAAAAAAAATAAATGAGAGCTTCTTTCTTCAAAATCATTCGCTTCAATCAATTTTTCTAAAAAAATGAGAACAAATGTTAGAAAATGAGGCTCAAAAGTCTCGTGTTAAGAACTTGCTTGATTAAACTATAAAAATTATTTCTTTATTTATGGTTTCTAGTATGAAAATTAAGCATGCATGCATAGATTGAGAGCCCAGTGATTAAAAGTGACATATTTTGTGAAGTACAAGGACTGCTACTGTAATTAACCCTATAACTTTACTGCTGTCTTTGGTGATGGAAACCTCTTTTGGGGTTTTATACAACCCTTTCTTGAAGTCCTTCCCCTCAAACCCACTTCAACCCCCTTTAATCATGCATGCATAAATTAAAAACATGAAGTTAACCCAATAACTGAACTGATGTCTGTACTGATAAAACCATTCTTTTGGGTTTTGTAGAATCATTCTTGGAGTCCTCTCTCCTTAAACCCACTTGAACCCGAACCATGTATGCATAGATTGAAAACACAAAGCTTAAAAGTGATATATTTTGGAAAGTATAAGGACTTCTACCATAATTAATCCAATAACTTAACTGCTGTCTTTGCTTATTATGACTGCACCAACAAGAGCACACACCCAATTGCTCCCCCAGAGTGCCAAATTAACCAGTGAATCAGTTCTTCTTTGATGGTGTTTTTTATAATAAAGTGTTGTGGGTTTCTTATGTTAAAATGCGTTTTGGAGCCATAAAGGAAGAAAATTACCAATTGCTATTTAGATACACACTTCATACGTATTTATGTAACCAGAGAGAGATAGAGAGAGGGAGATGAAGGGAAGGAGCATAAAGGAAGTGGGTAAGGAAGATTTGGTAAAAGTAAGATTGCCAACACAGGTGGACAGTGGCCAACTTCTGGAGAGATTTGCGGGCCAACTTCTAGAGAGAGCTCTTAAAGGCAGAATTGCCAACACAGGTGGACAGCAGCCAAGGGAGCCATGACGGGAGATACGTGGTCGATGCTTGCTGCCATTGTCCTACCCACACGCCGTACACAAAAACTATGGAGATTCAACAGTAAAAACATCCAACGGAGAAATGGAGGAAAATCAAACCTTTGTAAGGAGATATCTTGTTGATGAAATAGTTAGTTCGACCTCAGAATCAGATTTCAAAGAAAACTCAAAAGCAACTTCATGCAGTCTTGTGACGGCGTCCCGTCGCTTGTTGAACTCAGCTTCACCTATGCAACAAAAATCAACATTAGTCTTGTAGTGAATCAAGGCGAGAGAGAGAGATGAAATAAGAGGATGACCCGAAGGGAGAAAAATCAAAACAAAAAAAACAAAAAAAAAAAAAAATGAAATCGCAGCAAAGAGCGAACACTGGTTCGGAGGTCGCAGAAAAAAAAATGAAAGATGCCTTACAGCAGCATATCTGCGACACGTGCCATGGTTAGTCGTCGCAAGCAGAGCCGAACTTTGCAATTGGAGATCGAAAGTGAGGAGGGAACACTGGTTTCACGATGGAGAAGCAGGAGAAATGCGAGTGACGACAATGGTTTCAAAAGATTACGTGAGGTGTTTCTGGGAATTTCCAACTGAATACTAAGGGCAATTTTGTCCGATTGAAAAATATTTAACACGCTGATACAGACAGATAAAAATTATCCCATTTCTCACGGCTGTAACATTCTCATGGGTTCACTGATACATATCTTATCAGTGTGTTATCCGGAGTCGTTACATGCCAAGCGAACATGTGTAACAGTTGACAAAAATTATCTTATCCCCCATTCTCAACTCAACCGAACGCCCCCTATGTCGTAAAAAGTAGATAAGCTGTCCTAGAGGAGCCAAGAACAACCCAGTTTTTTGTTCTGAGCGCCAAGACTAATCAATCGTGTTGTAAAAAGCTGGCCTTCGAGAGGGGTTAAAGATGAAACGACCCTGTTTTTTTGTTTGAGCTCAAAGACTTATCAAATATTTTTGGTTGAAATGGAAAATGGGAATTGAAAACATGTGTTTTTGAAAATGATTCCACAATTTCCAGTTCTTGGTTGAACAGAAGAGTCCAAAAGCCCTTCCCTAATTAACCCTTTATGCGGCGTCTTTTACATTGTCTACACCATGTGTCACCTTTAACTAGAGATATTCAACAAACCGAACTAAACTGATTAGACCGTATAAACTGAACTAAACTGTAAAAATTGAATCAAACCGTATAGTGTGGTTTGGTTTGAATTTGATATTTTAGACAAACTGTATAAATCAAAACCAAACCGTATCGTTTATATATATACAAAACTAAAAATTCTATATTTATATATGTAGTATATTTTTATTATTTGACTGTATATTTATTCTTTTTGTTATCTTTTATATTTATGTTCATTGTAATAATAGATTATTTTTTTTAGAGTGTAATTTCTATTAATAATAGTAAAATTCTGTAAAATGGTATAAATATATTTATTATAAAATATATAACTTCTATAATTAATTAATAAAATAATAAATTTATTAAGTTAAACATGTTGGGAAAAAAATAAATGACCAATTTTTAAAAAAATTCTGTTAAAATTTTTATAAAAATAGTGAATTTATTTTATTTTATTTTGTAAATCACAAATCGTTGTTTGGAACCGAACCAAATCGTAAACCGTTGTTCAGTTTGATTTATAAAAATTACAAACCATAAAATATGATTTTGTTTGAATTTGAGTATCAAACCAAATCAAACCGAATCATGAACACCTTTGCCTTTGGCAACCATCAACTAAATAAATAAATACATGAATAAATAAGTAAATTTGCAGGACTCGTTAGACTCTTAGCGGTAAATTAGTCAGATTTAAAATATTTTCTAGCAATGAGCTTTCAAATAAAATAAATAAATAAATTTATTGACATATATGAATTTTTCTTGTTAGACATTTATTATCTAATAAAATATCTCAAGCAACTCCTTGTTTAACTAATACAAAATTAAATTAAAGAATGGAGCTCAAGAAGAAGACCTTTTATTTTTTTTATTTTTTGGTTACTCTCAATAAGAAGACTTGAGTGTCAAAAAGATTGGACAGACGAAGGAACCATTTTTTTCCCCCACTTTTGAAGAAGGAAAGGATTTGGGCCACCTAATTCAGAGGCCCATACTTCTTTGGGCCGTGATTTAATTAAATATTTTAATAGATCCAACCTCAAAAAATAAAAAAAAAAAAATGGGCCCACCGCTCTGAGGAGGATGTTGTGGCTAGATTATCCAAAAATAATCTTTTGCACCTTCTGGTGATTGGGTCGTGGTTTGCTTTATTTCTTTGGCCTGAACTAAACCAAACCCATGGAACCAACCTCAAAGCTTAGACCTTTGTCTAGCATCTACACGTTTAGATTCATATGGCCATTAAACAGGACACAACTTATGGAGGTGATGAAACTGTTACATATTATAATTTGTAATGGGAAGTGGAAATTAACCACTTTCTGAGAGAAAAAAGTTCTATATTGACTTTCTAATTGGTATTAGTCTCTCTCAAAAGTGGTGTGAAAGAATGGGCTTTCCCTTATTCAACTAAAAGAAATTTTGTATTGTAATGCTCCGGAAGTCAATTTTAAATGTCTGCTCATTTTGTAATTATATTTATGACTTCCTGGAATCTGTTTGGGTAGGATTGTTATTTGGGCTTCAGCCTATTTTGTAACTATATATACATATATATACACAAACGGCTAGTAAAAAAAATTTAAACTACTTTGTTAAATTATGGGCCATAACTTTCCCTTAAAATTTGAAACTAATTTTAATAGATAAATAAAAATGGGGAGAAATTTTAATTCTAAAGTATTCTTACACTATTTTTATTATTTTTTAAAGCAAATTACAATTGAAGGCAGACATTTAAAATTGAGAACACTATTCTACTAAGGTACCCCTACACTTCTACTAATAGAAAAAATACTGTCAACTGACTTATTTAGTTTATTAAATGGTGTTTTCTGTCTTATAAACTCATACTCAAAATTTTAAAAATTAACAGTTAATTTTATAATTTTTTTTACAGTCAAGTCCGAAAACTGTAAATTAATAATTTTGGAGTCGTAATCTGCTGGTCAATTTTTAAGGTTAATCAGTAATCACTCACATCCGTGATGCGAGAATCTTTCTTCCCCGAATGAGGGAAAAGAAAATAGGACGAGACGAGAATCTTCGGGCCCCGACATAACGTGACGTGGCGACAGGCAATTGACTTCTACTCTTTACGTGGTGGTTCCTCCTTCCCTGGTCTTGGTTTTCCTCTCTCTCGTCAAACTCGATTCATCTCTGCAAATGGTCTTTACAGGTGCCTCCGACATGCGCTCGGCGCTTCAGATCGCCTCCTCCTTCGGCTACTTCAGGCCCAATCATCTGGTCTCCTCACGCCGCCTAGCCGCCGCAGTTTGTCGGCCGCCCTCGCCGTGGCGCTCCCCTCCGCAGACCCGGTTGGCCCTGACGCCAGCGGCGACGAGGGTCAGGGCCTTCTCCACCGGGGAGGCCGACATTGAGAGTGCCGAAGTCGAGAAGGTCTCAAAGAAGCCCTCGGTGTGCACCGCGGACGAGCTTCATTACGTCTCTGTCTCCAATTCCGACTGGAGGCTCGCCCTCTGGCGCTATTTACCTCCGCCCCAGGTCTTCTGCACGTGTTTACTAGTGTAAATTGTGAAGAATATTTGTTCATTCTGGCGCTGATTTGTTGTTCTGAATTGGTCGTATGCGAACAGGCTCCACCGAGGAATCATCCGCTCTTGCTATTGTCGGGGGTGGGAACGAATGCCATCGGTTACGACCTCTCTCCAGGGGTATGGCTCGATTCTCTATCTATGCGAGTGAATTATTTTCAGTTACCGTTATTAGCGAACACAGTTTGCATTATCATCTTGAAAATGGACGGGTCTCTGTGTTGGGAACTAGGAACTTTATGTATTAGATGTTTGAAAGTTACGATTGATATTTTTGCGTCCCTTATATTGATTCCCTCTTACAAAAATCAGGAATTTAAATTTAACAGTTGAATTCATATTGGTCAGCTAGGCTCTCTACTGCCTATCAATGCTATTCGACATGCTATCTTTTAGAATTTGTGAGTATTTGAGCGTGCTGATACCTGGCCCAACAAGCTGGTGGGAAACGGTTCAATTATAATAGAAAGTATCATGGATGTATTTTCAGGTTCTATTCTCAGTGCACTTGGCTGTGTTTTCTGTCTAAATCTGGTAAATTGTATGTGCTTGGTCTCTAGTTAGATATATGGACTGTTGTTGTCGAGAGAGAAAGAAAAGAGAAGCACAGGAATGATGAAAATTGTGTGTCTTAACTTTACCACAGATGCTGAATGTATGTTGTTCAAGTAATAAATGTGATGATCCTAATTAATTACAAGATATGATCCTAATTACAAGACATGATCTTAGTTACAAGATAGAATCATATAGATGAAGATATGATCACATGTTGATATGATCATATAGATCAAGATATATGATCACATCAATATTCCTGTCAAGCTAAAGCATATAGATCATATGTGCCAAACTTGTTACATAAATAACTTTTCAAGGTGAGAACATTTGCTAGTTGATCACTGGACAAAGCCAGTGGTGATGTCTGCTGATCGGATCTTTTCTATGATAAAGTGATCCTTTGGCCGTGTGGTGATAGAATCACTTTGTATCATAGCAAATTGTTGAACAACTGTGCCAAACTGGTTAAATCAAGTCTGAGGAGAATATTTGAGACCATACAAGAACTTGTGAAAGATGACACACTAGGCTGGTAGACTCCTACTAAGCAGTAAACCCTGGTGCTTGCTCTATATAAATCTCTTCTTCTAGATTGCCATGGAGGAAGGCATTTTTGATGTTCTTAGAAGTATCTAGGGTACGAGAACTAACCATGGGTCAGATCTGGACATAAGAGGAGGAGAGAGATAAATGGCTGCTGGAAAGGGACACACGGAAGATTTGGTGGTTGACCGAAGTTGAGACAAGGTCGGCTGAAGAGAAAATTGGCTGCCGGAAAGGGAAATATGGCAGATTGGCGGTGGACCGGCCTTGAGATATGGGCGGTCAAAAGGAAAAACAGTCGGAAAGGGAAACATCACAGATTTGGTGGCTGTCCAGAGTTGAGACAGAGTCAACTGGAGAATTTTCCACTGGAGGGTGGTGGGTCCATCAGGTATGCTTGGTTCTAGGGTTGCTTCTCTTTAGGTTGTGATACCATGTTGAGAGAGAGAAAAGAGAAGTATAGGAATGATGAAAACTTTGTGTGTATTACACCATGGATTTAAATATATATTATTCAAGTAATAAATGTGATGATCCTAATTAATTACAAGATATCCTAATTAATTGTAAGATATGATCCTAATTACAACGTATAGTCATATAGATCAAGATATGATCACATCAACAGTTGTCATGGCCATCCTTTTTCCCCCTCAATGTGTTATGTGTTGCAGTTATCAGATTCTGAATGTGGACAAGTTTAGCCAACAAGCCATCTTTCGAAGCAGTTGAAACTGGAGACTTAGTGAGTAAAAACTGGCAATAATAAAAGGTTTTGACACATGTCGAGAAAGCATCCCACTGAGAAGGGATTGACTTCTTTACCACGTGGTTGTCGGGGAGTTTCCTATTCTTTGCATGAGCATTACTTTTTTTGGCACTTGAGTTCTTCAAATTTTCAACATGGTGGTCCAATCAATGCTTCAAATAAAGCCAACAATAAATGAGAAACACCATAGTAGGATCCTTTTCTAATTAAATCTTCTTTTGCTATAGGAGTTGAATTGGCAATATCTGGTCAATTGCTTCCTTAAATGTAGTTAACAGAAGGATTGTTTTCAATTGATCTTTTAGTTCAATGATACTGTCCAATTCCATTGAGCAATTTTGTTAGTTGAATATAATTAATTAAAGATCCTAAGCTTGTAAGCTAAAATTTTAGTCTGGGCTGGGCTTGCTAGTCTTATACTCCTCTTTGAATCACTGGATCTAATTTATTCTCTTTACTAATCAAAATCTTGTAGTTAATACTGACTAATAGCATGATGCTCTGTAAAGTTTCATTTGTTCTTGTACAAGTTCTGAGATTCCATCTGTACTTAATCTTGGTCTTTCCTGTTTGACCCATTATTTGCAGTCTTCATTTGCCCGTTACATGTGCAGTCAAGGATTTGACACATGGATTCTTGAAGTTAGAGGTGCTGGATTGAGCACGCAGGCATCTGACTCCAAAGCCATTGAGCAGTCTGCCCATGCAATATCTGACCAGTTGGAGGCTACTGCTGAGAATGTAACTGATGGAGTTTTATGTGCAGATCAGCAGTCAACTATTATATCCTCTAAATCAGCAGAATCTGATATATCATCTATTGAAAGGGAGCTAACAGGGATATCAACTTCATGGGATGAATCAGAAGTGGTAACTAAATTGACGGATACTTTTATGCGTCTATCTGAAAGACTATCTGGCTTTCTAAGTGAAGGCCAGTCAAAAATCATGTCTGTGAAATTTTTTGATCAAATATCACAGCTATTAGAGGACTCTTTTTTATATGAAAGATTTAATGAGATAAGAGGGAAGGTTTTAAGTTTATTAGAATCAAGGCAAAATTCCTCTGTGGCTAGCCAAATCAGGGATCTGAGTCAGAAGCTGGTAAATATTATTGAGGAAAGTCAACGTTCTGTTTCACCTCAGTTGTTTAACCTGCAAGAGCGTTTTTTTCACAACAATAGAAGATTTCCAGAAGCAACTTGACTTGATTGTCAAGTATGATTGGGACTTTGACCATTACCTGGAAGAGGACATTCCTGCTGCGGTGAGGTGACTTCTCCCCTTGGAGGAAGGCTATAAACATGATTATGCCTTTGTCATCTTCCAATATGAATTTGTCTTCTTGGTTGCATTTTTTTTTTTGGTATTTCATTTCACATCTTTGATGTTAGACAAGACAATTAGGAACATTGCAAAAAATAAGTTAATCTTTTCTAGTTTGAGTTGTAGATGGAATATATAAGGGCCCAAAGCAAACCAAAAGATGGAAAACTGCTTGCTGTTGGACACTCCATGGGAGGCATCTTGCTGTATTCCATGCTTTCATGTTGTGGTAAGCTCTCCTGACTTATCTTATCTGCCATCACATGTATTCTGAAAGTTGTGATGCCATGACAAAAACAATTTGTTAGAGAAGTTCCTTTTTTATCAGTTTTAATTACTTGAAAGGAATATTTTACTTCGTTGAATTGATGGATACTGCCCAGAAAAAATATTGCAAAAATAAAATAAAGGCTGTTGCATGAACCTGAAAATCAGAATTCTTATCGAGCCTTTGAATGAAAAATCTCTGTATTTATTGCTCTGTAAGGTATGACTTTGGGTTATTTATTTTATTCAATTTGGCTAATTATTGTAAGGCATCTTTGTTTTAACTCTTCAAAGCTGAATGTCATTCATAGAATTCTATGTCTAATATAGATATACATGTGTCCTAGATGAATATTTACATCTCTTTGAAGGATTCTCAATGGCAATGAAATGCCTTGATCAGCTATTAATATTTTTTGCATAATTCATCATGAATCCATTTTACAATTGAATTATCAGCTGTGTAAAACATTTGGACTTTCACAACTTGGAAGGATCCTCATTTTATTATATGATTAGGGGCCACTGAGGTTAAAATCACTCGAAGGAAACCTAAATGAGGCTTGCAGTACAATGATTACACACACAGAGAGACACACAGAGAGAAAGAGAGAGAGAGAGGGAGAGAGTTATTATAGATTCTTTGATTTGACATGTCTGCCACTATACATGACCCTCCCCGATCCTTGCAAATCGAGGGGCCCTGTGGAACTAGGACACCTTCTTATTGATAATTTGATATAATATTTACCTTTCTGCTGCTTATACTTGGCTTGATATTGGACTCCCATGGTCTGTGGATGGCTCTGCAAGCATGTCGTCTTAATGGTGTATTACCTTTCTCACATAATTTAGCAGAATGTTGTAAACAAACAGAGGGAAGAGGGCTGCATGACCTTTAGGTCGACTTGAGCCGTGTTATCATGTTCAAGCTTAGTTTAAAGTCTGCTTGTTGAGCTTTTTGACTACAGTTTAATATTTGCAATTCTGAGGTGGAACTATGGTAAGTCGTTCCTTTTTAATTGGAAGATAATGGGTTTGAATAATGGAACTAGCTACTCTATAGGGCAGTGATAAGATTGAGTGCACATGACGATTCTCCACCAATCATTGCAAAGTGGGTCATCTCATGGCCTGAGGACGCCTTTTATTTAGCTTGCGTTTCAATAATTTTTTACCTACTTTTCTTAGCAGCAAGCAGCTTCTAACCTCAAAGATAATTGGGGGAAAAGGAGAAGCTAGAAGAAGAGAAATAAATTAATATGCAGACTTAAGTATCTCAAAAACAAAAACAATGATGTACTATCATATATAAGTTCCAGATCAAGTTGCACTTATTGTAAAAATAATAGATGTTACATTCATTCTAGGTTTTGATAGTTCATATAATACAGTATTTACGATTGTCATAAATAATTACCTTGTGCACATTATTTATATCAAGTTTTGGGTAGCAGTTGGAGATTGGAAGTTCTCTCATCTGTAGTGTCTTCTAAATAAGAGTTTGGTGTAGAACCAACGAATTAAAAGAAGAAGCATGGGAAAAATACAATCTGAAAGATCTCAATATTCTCAGTTCTTTATTAATCATTATCATACCTAAAATGTCCATGCCTCATACATCAACATTAATTTTGTAGTCCTAAACAAATTCTAACTTCTTAAGATAAATCAGAGATAAATCATATTAAGTCTTCCAATCTAATAAATCAACTGTCCTAACAATTCCTCTTTAAGGACAAATGCATAGAGTTTCAAATGAAATAAAATATAAAAAATATTTTTTGCTTTCCATTCTCCATCAGAGTTATTATGCTGAACTTGAGTTTGTAGATGGGATAGTACTTGGTCTCAGATTGAACTTGAAGTTTAGTATATATGACAATTATCAATAAAATGTCTAATCTATTTGTTCAGTGAAGTAGGAATATAATAAAAAGTTATGAGATGACGTAAGGATAAGACATTTGTATTCTGGTGTGTAGATGACCTATTTCTGTTGTATATGCACAATTTAACAGATATGTAATTGATAGAGTGAAAATGAAATGCCTTTTTTATGTGATTGCCGGTCAAGTAGTGAGCCACAGGTTTTCTTCCTTTCCTCCTAATCTTGTTGGCTTTCTGTTCCGCTAGATGGCCAAGCCCTTCCGATGCTCGTTTGGTAATTATAGACATAGGATTTTGGAAATTGGGGTTAAGGATGTGTTTAATGGATAGAGGGTGGAGTTAGTAGTTCTGTAGTTATGGATGGTTGTGTTAGGAAACCTCCAATAAAATATGTGAAGAAAGAAGGTGTAGGTTAAGAGATGGCAGTTGGACTGTTAGTTTTGGTTATATTGTTAGTTTTGTTAGTTGTTGAGGAAATATAAGGAAGGAGAGGGAGAAGAGAGGAGATTATGTTTTTCTGTTTGTACGAGAATCCAGTGAGGAGAGACTAGGACCTCTTGAAAGTCCTGGAGTTGATTTGTAATTGTTGTGATCATTTTATCATCTTGGTATTCAGTTTCTATCAATTGGTATCAGAGCCAAGGTTCAATTCATTTCGTCAGAATCATACGAGGGTAGCAAGAGTCTTTGTAACTTGATTACAAGATTCTTGCAAGTGGTTCATAAGGGCTATGGTTCGCATAGCAATCGGGAGTTGCGTAGTGTAGGGTTTTTTTTTTTTTTGGGTATCATTAATAAGTCGCAAAAAAGAAGCAGTTGTGTTGGGTTGGTTTGAGGGGGATCGCCAGGATCATTAGGCTATTGAGATACAATCGGGAGGATAGTTTAGCCATCTTGGCTATCGCGGGAGGAAGAAGGCTCTTCTAGGTGTTGCGAAGCTTGCGATTAAAGCTAAAACCGTACTGTGAGAAGAAGAAGGCGAAGCCTGCCACTAGGGCTAAGCATCACCGCGAGAAGAAGAAGGCTATTTGGGGTCGCATGAAGCTTGCGACTGGGACCAAGCAGTATCACGACAAGATTTTCTGGGTTGTGTGATCGCGACAAGATTTTCTGAAGGTGCTCTAGGTTGCGCGAAGAAGAGGTGCTCTTCTGGGTCGCGACTAGGGTTGAGCAGGTTCTTCTGGGTCACGCAAGACTGTATAGCGAGAAGAAGGGTGTCATTCTGAGTGGCGTGAGACCTGCGACTGAGCCTAGCTAGTCCCCTGTTGGGTGACGACCAAGAACAAGAAGGACTTCTGCGAAGCTAGTTTCTGTTGGGTGACGACCAAGAACAAGAAGGAATTCTGCGAGTGGTTGCGAGTGAAGCAATGAATGTTGCGAGGGAAAGAGTGATTGTTGAAGCCAGAGGAGAATTCTGAAGGCAGTTACGAGTGGGTAAAGGAAAGAGTAGGCACTGATAATTGGAAGTTCTGATACTAGAATTAAAAAAAAAAAATTCTGCTTGGAGTTGTTTTCTTTATGATTCATACAAGAATGGAAGCTAGATTGAATACACTGGAAAAAAATTTAGAAGCCTGGAGAAAGGAGATGGAAGAAGATAGAGAAATCCAAGAAACACGCAGGGAATTACAGGTTGCTAGGATGTAGAAGATCGAGCAACTTCTTGAAAACCTTGCTTGGAACTTTTTGACAGGCAATCTAGGCAAAGAGAAATCTGATAGCATTCGAAATGAAAAAAAAGAGAATGGGTCAAATAGTGGAATAAGAATGGTAAGTAGTGGGCAAAGATGGAGAAAGTTAGAGATTCCAGTATTTTCAGGAGAAGATGCTTATGGATGGGCAAATCGGGTGGAACGTTATTTTCAAATCAAAGGAGTATTGGAGGAAGAGAATATGTTGAGACACTTTTCAGCGATGATGGATTTTGCACAATTGATTGATGAAAAGAATATAACCCTTAGCAAGGATGGTGTATCAACTAGAGGTAGAACGGGAACCAATTTCAAAGGGTTTTCTTCTTCTAGGACAGTTACTATTGAAGCTGAACAAGCTGAACCTAGAAGCAGCCTATCAGGTTTGTAGCAAGGAGTGGGAGCAAGATCTAATAGCACTTTTAGAAGTAAAGGAGGGTTTAAAATGTTGTCGGAAGTAGAGTTGCAAGAGAAGATTAAAAAAAGATTATGTTTCAGATGTGATCAGAAGTACAATCTTGATCATGTTTGTAAAAACAAACAGTTACAAGTCATGTTGATGGAGGAAGTAGGGGAGGAAGATAATGCTGCTGATTTTAGTCAAGAAGCTGGGAATAAAGCATTGCAATTGTCCCTAAATAGTATCACGAGAATGACATCAAAGAATGCTCTTAAGCTGTGGGATAATGTGGGAAATCGAAGAGTAGTAGTATTGATTGATTGTGGTGCATCACACAGTTTTATTGACTCCGAGTTGATAAATCAATTAAAAATTCCTATAGTCCAAACACCTACTTATTATGTTAAGGTAGGCGATGGACACAAGATTAAATGCATGGGAGCTGGTAAAGGTGTAATTTTACAATTACAAGGATTGGAGATTCAACAAGACTTCTTTCGGTTCAGATTAGAAGGAGTTGATATTGTGTTGGGAATGGATTGGCTGGCAAGCTTAGGAGAGATAAGGGCTAATTTCAGAGATTTGATTATGAAGTTGGAGGTAGAAGGAGAAATGATGATACTAAGGGGTTCTACTTGTGAGAATTCTAGGAATGTATGACAGCCTTACAAGAGCAATTTCCTAATTTTCACCTTGAGGACAAGGTGAAACTTTTGGGGGGGAGTATTGTTAAGAAACCTCTAATAAAATATGTGAAGAAAGAAGGTGTAGGTTAAGAGATGGCAGTTGGACTGTCAGTTTTGGTTATATTGTTAGTTTTGTTAGTTGTTGAGGAAATATAAGGAGGGAGAGGGAGAAGAGAGGAGATCATGTTTTTCTGTTTGTACGGGAATCCAGTGAGGAGAGACCAGGACCTCTTGAAAATCCTGGAGTTGATTTGTAATTGTTGTGATCATTCTATCATCTTGGTATTCAGTTTCTATCAATTTTGATATTCAATTTCTATCAGGTTGATGGTTGGCGTCTAATGGCTAGTGGTGGAGCTTAGTTTTATTTAAATTAATCACAAGTGTTTTGGACCATTTGAGATTGGCTTGAGGAATTTCAGTCCTTTTAGAAATTATATTTAGCAATTTGATTTGTTATCAACTTTAGGAGGCCAAATTTAGTTAAGGTTTTTAGTTTCTGACTTATAAATTGTTTTCAATGTAAGAAAAAAAAATTCACTTTTACTAAGATACGTTTAATTGAGAATGTTGAGATTATGGAGTTCTGAGAAATCTTCTCTCTGGATTGAGAGATCTGTTCCTGTTTCTATTTCACTTGCACAGCCCTCTGGATATCAAAATTTGAGAGTTAAGAAAGAGCGTTGGTATTGTGTTGATGGATATATGGTTGGAGGCTTGGAGCAATGAGCCTGATGACAGCATAGGAGTTGTTGGGTAATTGCAAAAATCCGTGGCTATGATTCATGAATCTCAGGTTTGGCCTTTAAGGGATATAAGACTGAGAGAGTCCCATTTTTGGCCTTCTCATATATAATACTGTACCACTTAATTAATTCCTGGCTAATATATACCATAGATATGATAAGATATGAAATTATGGAGAGCACCTTAGTGCAGAAGCTCCTGGTTCCTGCCACTGCAGGAGTATCATGTAGAAGTCTTATCTTTTCATGGAAGCAGTTGGGGCTGTTTAAAGATTTAAATTTGTAACGCTGTTTAAAGATTTAAATTTGTAACGCCTAGGTTGCAATAAAGCAACTGTTACCAGTGTGCCAAGTGCTACCCTCAATATTATACAAAATTATAATATATATCATACAGGCTACCTCAACATGGGTCCTGGCCTACATGGGTTTGAGCTTGGTTAACCTGTAGACTAATCAGGCTTGATACCCTAAGGTTCCCTAAGTGATGAGTTTGTTTGCATCACCAATTAACAACATTGCTGTGCCTTTTATGTTTTGAGGGGCTTTAGTAATGAGTGGCAGGAATAGATGGTGTTAAGTTGATGTCATGACAGTAGTTTGCAGAGTTCACTATTCTGGCCATAAAAGTGTATGCACTGAGATGGTTTTATTTAATCCACTTGCTGATGGAAACATGACAAGTCACTTCCTTTCCTAACCACCCCCCATGCCCCGCCCTCCCAAAAAAAAAAAAAAAAAAAAAAGAAGGAAAAGGATCACAAGATTTTCCCAAATGAGAATAGATAATGATGATGCTAGATTAACAGAAACTATCAGCTTTGATTGGTGTTTTTATTTGGAAAAAGCTTGTACTTTTCAGGTAAGCTCTCCTGTAGAATGAGATGTGAGAACAAGTCTTCTGTGTAAAGTTCAAAAGCTCTCCTGAGGAGCTTATGGAAAAACCTTCAATATAAATGCTTGAGCTTTTCCCAAATAAAACACCCTTTATATCCTGTCCAGTTACTTATTTATTGAAATAGAGACTTTTCATATTATATTCATTATGTTTGAATTAATAGTTTGGTTTATTGACATGCATATAAAGGTTTTAAAGGAAGAGAATGAGTCTTCAATATAAAGCTCAAAAGCTCACCTGAGGAGCTTATGGAAAAAACTTAGATATAAAAGCTTGAGCTTTTTCCAAATAAAACGCCTCTTAATCACCTGTCCAATTACTTTTGCTTTGAAATGGAGATTTTTCATATATTATTCCATTGTTTTTGAAATAATATTTTGGTGCATCAACATGTAGGTTTTGAAGGAAGGGAACCTGGGCTGGCAGCTGTTGTTACTTTGGCCTCTTCACTTGACTATACATCTTCAAACTCATCATTGAAACTTCTCCTGCCACTTGTAAGTTGATGAAAATCCTTTCATAGATCAGCTGTTTTCTATTTCATAACCATTCTTTTGCAACTTTTAGGCGGAATAACCTCTCATGATGATCTAATAAACAGATATTTTCTATGTAGGCTGACCCTGCACAGGCTCTCAATGTTCCTGTTGTTCCTCTGGGGCATTACTGGCAGCAGCTTACCCTCTTTCATCACATCCTCCCTATGTCTTGTCCTGGTTAAATAGTATGATTTCAGCAGAGGACATGATGCACCCAGAGTTGTTAAAGAAGCTTGTCCTGAATAATTTTTGTAAGTACTGACACTAAGTAATTTTGAATTGAGCCTTTTAATGTTCTTATATCACAGGGTAAAGTTTCTGTAAATGGGCTGATAATTTAATGTGTGATTGAAGACTTTTTGTGAATACAGCTTGCATCTGACCTATGGGATGGATGTGAACTTCTAAACTTTAACACTTACAATGTAGGAGGTGGATTCCTGGAATTATATTTCAAGTATCATCCATAGATTTCCCATGGCGTGAACAGGAAAAACTCTGTCCACGAAAGTTTCACTAGAAAATGAAAATATCATGCCAGTTCATTAAGATTGACCTCAAATCTTTCAGTCAATAACTCATGTTTTCTGATCTGTGATTTTGATTTTTATTTAAATTAAAAACAAGTTGGAAATTTATTTGGTTAATAGTCATTTTTTAATGTATTATGTACCTGTTTTGAAGTTTGATCTTGTTAAAATTCAATTTGAAACTCATATAGTGAACCTGAAGGTATAATATCCAAGTTCCACTTTTTATTTTGGTTAAGAGATCGTGTTAATTAATGCCTAAAATTATGATTGTTATTTGGTTCATTGTTCTGTGTTGAACAAACTGCATGGACTGGTGGGAAAAAACAGTCATTTGTCGTCAAATAGCTATATAATTAATTTCAACATACATTTTAGCATACTTCACTATGACCCTTCATAAGTGGTAATCTAAAGAATAATATCTATCATATAGTCCTTTGTCCTAACCTATTTGAACTGAATCAAGATTACAATAGACATGACATCGGGGAATTTTTCAATCATTCTTTTCATCAGCATTGAGATGTTATTTTTTGATTCAGAATACTAGTTCTGTTCTGATAGGGTCTGATTGTACCTGGCCTGGCAGGTACCATACCTGCTAAATTAATCTTGCAGATGACAACAGCTTTGCGAGAAGGTGGGCTGTGTAACAGAAGTGGCACATTTTTCTACAAGGATCACCTTTATAAAAGCAAAGTTCCCGTCTTAGCCCTTGCAGGAGATCGGGACCTAATATGCCCACCTGAAGCTGTCTATGGTATGTCTCAAGAAATAATCCACACAAATGCTTGCTGAACTTTGCTTGTCCTATTTTTATTTCATTTGTTCTGCTTGTTCTCTCTTGAACAGATGCTGTAAAACTCATTCATGAGGATTTGGTTACCTATAAAGTATTTGGAGAACCAGAAGGTCCACATTATGCTCATTATGATTTAGTGGGGGGACGACTGGTACAAACATTTCTCTACTATTTTAACTCCGGG